TGTGCAACCATGTTAGTATTTCAGATATTTTGTGTGTCCTTTTATAAAAAGGTTTTTAAATCACTTTCCGTAATAAGATTTCATTTTTTTGGAAAATAAAAGTAAATATTTCTATGACCGTTTTCTTGATAGTGCCAGCTCAAACAGTTTTTTCAATGTTGCCAATCCTATTAAGGCATTTTGATGTTGGTAGTTTATAAAGACACACAGGGCGATGGGGTTAGGTCGTCACGCTGAAGACCCAGGTTCAATTCCCCACATGGGCACAATGTGTGAAGCCCATTTCTTGTGACCCCTGCCATGCTATTGCTGGAATATTGCGGCGTAAAACCATACCAGTTCACCGTTTCACTCTCACTCACTCACTCACTCACTCACTCATGAAGATGCACAATATGAGGATTTCAACCTGTATATTATTAGTACACAGTGTTTCCAGGTTACTGCAAGGCACATTCCAGATTTGTAAAAAGAAAAAGAAGTCAAAATCCACGTATCCGGTGTCTCTAAATCCAATTAAAACAATATAGCACTACATGACCCACCCTTTGCAACCCTCACAGAAGTATGTTTACACAAACTACAATGAATTACACCTAGACCATTAGGTCACAGTGACCTGGCCATCTACAAACACTGACCAGATCTTTTTACCAGTCCATTGTGATGGTCAGCTTACGCTGAGCTGCTCTGGCCCCTGAATTTAATGGCCAGCTATTACTGGATTTCTGACACTCTGAGATTTATAGGGAATCTAATGACTAGTTATAAGCTTTTGACCTTGTAATGTAAGCAAACAGAGCATGTTGATAGTAAGGTTTTGATTGGACACTTGAAAGAAATTGCCTCCTTGTTAAGTAGTTTTCCAATGCCTCCCTGTTGATGGGTGTAAGTCTATCATTAAGGCATAAAAGCTGGTTTCATTTGAGTTAGCCCCCATTATTTATTACTCTAATGTCCAGCAAGGGCCATTTCTCTGTGTGTAATTGATGAAATGAGAGTGAGATAGAGCATGAAGTGACTGGTACTTTACTGTATCAGACCCAGTGTGTCGTCAATGTTTGTGCAATAACACATTACTGGCTTGATGTAAACAGAGCCTAGGACCTTGTGGTACAACCCTCGCTAGTTAGTAAGCAGGTGGTAGTCATTACTCTAGCTCTTACAACAAAGTTAGATCACTGTCGTAACATAGGGAAGTACTCCACATGTTACCCGATTGCTAGTACCATGGTTTCAGATGGGTAATATTCCACCACTGCTGGGGGCACGGGTGGCCCAGTTGTCTAAGGCGCCGCGATTCGCTGTGCTGAGTTGCGTCCCTTGGGCATGCCAGAAACCTATGATTGTGGGTTCGAATCCCGGTTCGCCCCGATTATGTTTCTAGGTTTGTCAGCACCATACCCGTGCTTGTGGGTTTCACCGAAGTGGTAAACGTCTGGGACCTGCAACACTTCGGGCTTTCCTCCCACATTAAGCTGACACGCCGTGATATGACTGGAATACTGTTAAAAGCGGCGTTAAACCCAACTCACTCACTCACTCACTCACTCACTCACTCACTCACTCACTCACTCACTCACTCACTCACACACACACACTCACTCACTCACTCACTCACTCACTCACTCACTCACTCACTCCACCACTGCTACACAAGTCTGTCTCGATTTAACTATCTAAAACCTGCAGTAGTGGGACCTGTTACTGAAAACTGCAACCTGGGTGCCATTGTACAAAGCGATCTTAGCACTAAGGTGATCGTAACTCCCATACCTTAACACAGACTTACGTCAGTCGCAGTGCTAAGGTTGTTTTGTAAAAAGGCACCCTGATATTTATTTATCATCCAAAACTGGCTCCCACAGGAGATATCGCTTGGGTGAGATCAAGCGATATCTATTTTGCAAGCCTCTGAGTTTTTTTCACTTTTATCAACTCGTGTTGATATATTTGATATCGGGCGAGATTCTATGTCTCTACATGGTTAGCATCACATTAAAATTCAAATGTTTGTGTTGTCTGACCCCGACTTGTCCACACAACATCAATCTTTGAAAAGCTCAGTACCCCTAAGCTTTATATATGATACTACATCACTAAACACTAACCCCTGTGTTATGTGTAATTTATTACAACTACAGTCATCAGAGATCTGAGATTTTACTTATTTAGACTAGGTTATGCATCTTTGATAAATTTATGGGGCCAGGGTGCAACATGGTTTTGTCTTGTGTAACTATCTTTTCATGTCAACATGCACCTGGTGCAACTTAAAACAAGTTTCTTAAATTGAGTCTTGCAAGTCAACATGGCCTCCTTAATTGCAAATCTTGACTTGAAAGTCCAAAATTGAAGTCGAGTTAGGGACCGACCATTTAATATTCAGGTTTATGGCTGGGATTTTTTCGAAAAATAATATTGTCCCCAACTTGAAAAAAAATAATAATGCTTCTGACTATTGAAAAAACCCAAATTTGCCTGCCACAAAAATGACTTTGTTGCAAGGTGTTTTTCTTTTAAGACAATCAGGCTCATGGTTTTAAATAAGGAATATTAAATGGTCAGTCCACAATAAATGAAAACTATAGTCTGAAATGAATGGCGAACCCTGGTGTCTACCCCTGCTAGGTCATTATCTTGGCGTGTCCCTTTGGAATATAACTGGGTAAAATGAAATGGATCTTTTCACATTATCCCACTTCTATTACACTGGCTTTTACATCCGAGCAGCTACGGACAATAAGGGCACCAGGCACAGACTTGACAAAATGTGACTTGTCTGTGTATTTGCCAGGTACTAGACTCCGTCCACGGGCTTGAGGCACATCCACATAGGTAGTGCTGTGGTTAAGGTGGCAGGGTTCCATCACAGAAACCTCACAAACACCATGTCAGACTATGGTCTATTGGTCTGTGGAAGGGATACTGGTTTGAATTCAATAAAAAAATTCCCACTGCATCATATGCATATATTTCTAAGGAGAGAAAAATCATGACAGATTTTATGGATTGATGTTGCACCTTATGTCAAACAATGCGCTGGCACCCATTGTCTCACCTCATACTCGGTTGTGACACCCATTGTCTTACCTCATACTCGGTTGTGACACCATTGTCTTACCTCATCATATTGTCCTGTGGCACCATTGTCTTACCTCATCATACTGTCCTACCTCATCATACTGTCCTTTGACACCATTGTCTTACCTCGTCACATTGGGTTGTGACACCATTGTCTTACTTCATACTGTCTTACTTCATCCAGTGGGTCTTACATCATCAAACTGGGTTGTGACATCATTGTCTTACTTGATCATACTGAGTTGTGACACCATTGTCTTACCTTATCATACTGGGTTGTGACACCATTGTCTCACTTCATCATACTGGGTTGTGACATCATTGTCTTACTTCATCACACTGGGTTGTGACACCATTGTCTTACATCATCCTACTGGGTTGTGACACCATTGTCTTACATCATCATACTGGGTTGTGACACCATTGTCTTACATCATCCTACTGGGTTGTGACATCATTGTCTTACTTCATCATACTGGGTTGTGACACCATTGTCTTACATCATCACACTGGGTTGTGACATCATTGTCTTACTTCATCATACTGGGTTGTGACACCATTGTCTTACTTCATCCTACTTGGTTGTGACACCATTGTCTTACATCATCATACTGGGTTGTGACACCATTGTCTTACTTCATCACACTGGGTTGTGACACCATTGTCTTACTTCATCATACTTGGTTGTGACATCATTGTCTTACATCATCATACTGGGTTGTGACACCATTGTCTTACATCATCACACTGGTTTTTGACATCATTGTCTTACTTCATCATACTGGGTTGTGACACCATTGTCTTACATCATCACAGTGGGTTGTGGCACCATTGTCTTACTTCATCATACTGGGTTGTGACACCATTGTCTTACATCATCACAGTGGGTTGTGGCACCATTGTCTTACTTCATCATACTGAGTTGTGACACCATTGTCTTACTTCATCATACTGGGTTGTGACACCATTGTCTTACATCATCCTACTGGGTTGTGACACCATTGTCTTACATCATCCTACTGGGTTGTGACACCATTGTCTTACATCATCCTACTGGGTTGTGACACCATTGTCTTACATCATCCTACTGGGTTGTGACACCATTGTCTTACATCATCACACTGGGTTGTGACACCATTGTCTTACTTCATCATACTGGGTTGTGGTACCATTGTCTTACATCATCATACAACCTGTGAAGATCCGGGGTAGAATAGGTTTTCAGCAGCCCATGCTTGCCGTAAAAGGCGACTTGATTATTATTTACAAACCGCTGTCATGTAGCTGGAATATTGCTGAGTGCGGCGTTCAACAACCAACCAACCAACCTGATCATAATGAGTTATACGGCACCCATTTCTGGAACTTGTGTATTGCTGTGTGCAGAGAAATATGAACTCCCTTAAGTGTTATAACTCTAAGGTTTGATTGACATTATAACGTTTCATTTTGAGTATATTCTTCTGCCTTTGCCTTTAGCCACAAATCAAAAGCCTGAGTAAAAACCCCTTTCTCACTTGTAAGCTTTCACTTCAGAAGTACAATCTACCAGAAAGGTTGCAGGACAGCTTTGAACTAGTCCACTGAAATGAAACCTAATGAACAATGGTTAGGACCCTGTCTGTAAAACTGTTCATGTCCACACCAGGGGCGGTCGGGTAGCCTAGTGGTTAAAGCGTTTGCTCATCACGCCGAAGACCCGGGTTCGATTCCCGACATGGGTACAATGTGTGAAGCCCATTTCTGGTGTCCCCCGCTGTGATATTGCTGGAATATTGCTTAAAGCGGCGTAAAACCCACTCACTCACTCACTCATGTCCACACCCTTGTGTCTGTGTGAGTGCCAGAGGTCCTTAGATAGTATTGTAGTTACAACAGCTGAAATACTTCATTAATTTGTTTTTTCACTATTTCAGCTGCCTCATCACCTGCCTTAGCAAGAGCCCTCACAGCCATTCAGTGCACGCAAAAGCGACCTCGCAGTGAGAAGAAGGCTATTCCAGATGAACAAAAAGATGGTAAATACTTTGAAAGAAGACAACGCAACAACAATGCAGCCAAAAAGTCACGAGATGCAAGGAAAGCTAGAGAAGATGATATTGCAATCAGGGCCAGTTTCTTGGAGAAGGAAAACGCAATACTCAGGGCCCAGGTTGCGACTCTGCGAGAAGAAGCCAACTCACTACGGCAGCTCCTCCTTCAAAAGAGGTCGAGACATTAGGACACACTGTTTACCTTTATCTTTCAGATTTTATATACCTGCAGCAGCTGTTACTATTGTATTCTGTGTTGTGTTTGTTTCTGTTTCTTGAAGGGGTTCTCTGCCTGGACAATATACATCGCACACTGCATGTTACTGGTCACATGGGGAACAGTTCATGACAAGCTCCTTGCCTTTGTAGAACATCCCTCATAAGCTGCTTGCTGCGAATTTGCATACAATTCTGACAAAATGCTTGATCCATCAATAGAACAGTCCTGCCAGCTTGCTTGGTTGTCAAAGATGGTCATCTGCATGATGATAAGATGGCCAATAAAAACGTTCCTTAAACCTGAAAGAACCCCTTTAAGACCCTCTGCAAACCTTCTCTCTAGTGCTGTGTTAGATTAACAGTTCTCACTGTTTTATTACTGTTGAAATGGACTCAAAACCTTCCTATTTATGCAAATAAATCTATGTACATAGCAATAGTGGCTTTAGATATTCAGGTGGCTAAATTGAGGTTATTAAAAAAGCCATTAAGCTGATTTTCAGATTTACATCCTATTTTCTAAATTATTGTTATTCGATCATTGATAGTACATCTAAAAAATAATTATCAGATATATACTTGTGTTCTCATTGGTTATGTTTCAGTGTAAGAGATTGTGAAAAAAAACAATAATCTCACTTTTGTAACATATGATAGAGATGTGACAGCTTCAGGTCAGAAATGGGGAACATTTGTTTTTGTAATGTTTTTCTTATTGTTTTGGAATAATTACAACTTGTATGCATAATCTATTTATAAGTTCTATGCGAAGAAATAGGATGAAATTCTGATCATCTCAGTTGGCTTTAAACCCCCAATTGTTAGTGCAAAGGTCTTTACTACTTAATGTTTTAACATTGTTTTGTTGTCACATTTTAAACCTTTGTCTTTTATGCTGCCTTGTACATTGCATGACAATTGTGATTTTCTGTGTAGTTAGCTGATGTCAGTCAAGAAATAGCTGGATAGCGAATTTTGTTTCAAAACCAAGTTTGAAGGAGGACACTATTCTACTGCATGTGGTTGGAACATGTTCAATAGTGATAAGATGTTTAGTTTTATTTCGCTATTAATGCCGTGCCGATACCTGTATTAGAATATGACTCTTTCTCTCAAATATCTTCAAGGGAGTATCTGTAGACTTCGGAACATTCATTCACAGTATACAACTGGATGTTTAACAGGACCACAAAGGCAATCCTGAATATGAACTGGGATTACAATCCTAAATGCTTTTGATATTGAGATCATTTCGTTAAAAGTCAGAATTATATATTCATTGCAAGAAAATGTTTTATACATTTTACCTGAGTGCTAGCCCTGTGGTAAATGTGTTAGGTTATCATGCCTACGGGGTTCAGTCACTCGTTTCATTGCAATAAGATATTTGGCGATCCCCATTGTGATGAAGGTGCTCAATTGTGATGCATAACAAAACCATGTGATCTCAGCCTCTGTACAATGTAGGGATGAAATGATACACCGAAAACCAAGATTTGGTATGCATTACAATAGTTGTTGACAATGTGATATGTGTCACAATGTGATATGTGTCACAATGTGATATGAGTCACAATGTGATATGCGTCACAATGAGATATGTGTCACAATGAGATATGTCACAATGTGACATGTGTCACAATGTCTAAAATTGGAGTAAGATAGTTGAAGTTTAGTCAGAAGTTACCAAAAGAAAAGAAAACTTGATTTTTTTTCCAAAATAATCATTTTATGTGATCGTTCATGTTATTACAGATGCCAGAAATGCATGATCACACTGAATAATAGACTTCATATGATGAAACGGCATAAAACCATTCTCTCAATCACTCACAGGATAAAACCAAAATGGTGAGGAGAATGTGATTGTAAATAATTAAAATAATTTGTGAAACATCTGTAATCAGTACAAGATCAGTAATCATGTACCGTATCATTCAGATAATTATTGTGATGCATTGGCAAATCAATTCAGCCTTTGGCAGGATCTTTCATTTGCTTGGCTAACTGGACTGCTGACCCAAATTTTGACAATTGTGGAATAAATTATATTTTTAAATATTTCTCAATTTCAGAAGTGAATATAACTCTTCAAAGAAGGTCAATAAAGGGAGAAAAGTACTCCCCAGTCTTGTCCTTCCCCAAAACACCCTTTTTTTAACTTTCTCTTCATTTAACCAAACCAAGCAGTATTTACAAAAATCATTTAAAAGTATATATATATTTTTAAATATATGTATATATTATTACTATTTCAAAAGGTTTGGAAAAGACTCTGCAAACCAAGTGATTGAAAACAGGCCTTATAACATTGTGGATCAATTATTATTATTGATCAGCCAAGAATTACAATTCCATTTATTCCAATAGCTGTTTAATGCTGTTATACACTGTTCTCTGTACAATAACACTGATATGTGACCACCTAGGCTACAACGCATGCAGATTAAACATCTGAAACCAGCCTATTAGGAAATGTGATGAATATGACAAATTATATATTGATATACTCCTTATCAATATGATGTGAGAACTAAGATGCTGATGTTGTCTATACCCATGTACTATTTTATGAATTTGAGTTTTGCCATAACATGAGAATCAATTATATATAACCCCCGGTGATTATGATCAGTTATTTCTAACTGATGAGGGAGGTACTTCTATGTGATCACGGGTGAAAGTGACGTTGGTTCTGTAGCTGGTAACATATGTAGTAGACTGTGCATATACAAGCCTATCACTGCCATTGTAAATATATTGCTGTGTCAAAATGATGTATTAAGTATAACTGAAAATTTAGAAATATTCTATCCAAAGCAACTGACTTGTTTTTTTGTAAAATGTAAGATAATGATTTCGTTTAAGGATATAGCTGATTGGTGAAAGTGTCATTTGTGAATTTATACATTGTATTTAAACTTCAAGAATAATTTGCAATCACTTCGACTGTCTTTTACAGAACAGTTTTAAAAATCAAAATTATGAATCATCAGTTGAAACAAATGTACAGATCTACTCAAATATGCTCAATTGAGATATGATTATGCGGAAATGTGTATGTTTGTCAGTGTTTATTGTTTTCGCTCCTTGTTTGGCCATATGGGTTTTCACTACTGTTTCTACAGTGTATACTATGTGACATAGTGTTTCTAGTAATGTAGATTAGATGTATTATATTACCAGCAAATTGTGTGATAGCCAGGAGACGTTTTTCTTTCAATGCATTTATTTCATATCTGTATTTTCCAACATTTAATAGTGGAGGAGGATAACTATATGTTTTGCTTGTTTTTGTCAAATTTATTCATAAAAATTCTCTTAATATTTCTTTGTAGAGAGTTATTGTTAAGAGATGTCTTACGATTATATTTTCTTAGAGAGTAAAACTAGCAAGCTTTGAAAATCACAAGATAATAAATTAAATTTGTATTTGACACGTCCCAGGATGTGTAGGCTTTATTGAAATTGAAGATCAAATAGAAACACTGCTTGTAAATTGCTAATATACCTTAAAAGACAGCATGATAAACTTTATTTCCAAGCATTAAGATAATATTTGGGGAACAGATTGAATATTTTACAGCTTTAGAAATTCTGTATTCAATATTTTTCATTGTTAGATATCAATATGGGCATTTGTTTGAATAAAAAGAATTCACTGAATTCACTGAAAAATTATGAAGATTCATATTGCCAGACATTGATGCTGATATGTGTCAGGTTCTTCAGAATTAAGAAAAACATGACAACTTGTTTATGAGACTTCTCTAGATGAAGAAACAATCTAAGAATGTGGATGTTGCAGTAGTAATCTGAGTACTGAATGAAAGTCTTTGTGTGGTATTTGTTGCCCAAACCATTAACACCACAACTGTTTCGTGTCTAAATGTATCATACATCTCAGGGACATAAGTCAATACATGCAAACTATAGATTAGATTTTTTTATGGATAACCAAATATGCATTTTTGAAGTATACACCACTAATAAATTCTTTTTGAAATGATACATTGTTTTATATTTATTTTTTGCTTGCTCAAGCTGTTACCTTGATATACCTGTGATAATGCTGACTATGACATTCGCTTTTGAACAATTGGGTCAAATGAGCAGCGTACAGTGGCGGCCATGCAATGCTTGGCCGGACCACTGCGGGTACATTTTACGAATGCTTCAAAAGGAAGCCAATTAAACTGAGGGTAACACCTATATAAATTATCCGAATGTTACCATTTGTGTTTGGTTATTAAAATTTTAGTTAACCGAGGTTACAACATTTCTTGCAACCAGGGTTGACTAGACTGAAACTTTGTTAATCAGTGTTAATCAACCATAAGGTGGGATAGTACCCTAAACAAAACATATCAATTACAACCTTAGTTATAATGCAAAATGGCTGCCAGACGGAGGAATACTACTACCATGTGCATAGCTATAATACACAGGAGTTAACCAGTGTGTTATTACTTGACACAACAGACATCGTACATTTTCTATTAAATGCCTGTAAAACGGCAAGAAATTTCCGGCGTCTAATAGAGGAGATACGGTAAGTATGAAACAGGAGTGACAGAAACTGTCAAATTTAAATTGTTCCCACGAATATAGTTACCACAATAAGTGCATCAGTCAATAGTCATTGTCTGTGATCAATCATCACGACTATAGAGGGCCATAGCCAACAATATTCCGGTTATTTCCCGGCCGCCTGGTAGTAATGTAACTGGATCAGGTAAATGAGTGACTCGGTACACAAGCAATGTCACTAGCGGTCGGGGCACGGTAACACGCACTCATCTTCACCTGACCAACCGATCCTCATTCGGCTCATACGACAACCATGGTCTCCTGGTGACTGACTACCCACGTGTCAAATCATCATGATCTCCATAAAAGCATCAAAACCCTTTCCATATCCATATAAAATCTTTGCCAAAAGCAGAGTCGATTGTACGATCACGACTATATCATGAGCATGTGTCTATGAATCACTATCAAATAGTGATAACAGTTTTCACGAAAAGGTGAGCGTAGCCTGCCCCACCGGTGACACACGTCAAAAACACACGCAAAGGCAAGCCAATTGCAATGACATGTATAAAACCACTTGTAGCCATAATCTTTCAACAGAACCATTGGAATAAAAACAAAATCGTCTTTAGTGGAAACATGTATAGTAGACCAAAGGAGGAGATGGGATAAGGGTCATTTTCGCCCACTGGAAATGTAAAATATGAACTCAAGGAAAACTTTGAATATTGGTACAGGGTATAACAATTATCAAACATGTTCAAATGGCTGACATCTTGTCTATCTTCTTTCATACTCTTGTACATTTTCGGCTTCTTACGTGGTCAAATCCGTAATTATGGCTAGAATGAGTGAAAATGAAAACTCCAAATGAAAATCTAAACATAAGTCCGTCACCCAAGATGAATATTTTACCTTATGTCTGTAATGTTCTTATGTATATCTACGTGGAAATTTAGCTATAGGGAACAAGACATTCATGCCTAAATTCCGCCTTTTTGACACATTTTATCCTCACCAGTGGAGTCATAAGTGCCAAACATGCAATGGTTGAAATCAAAGTTTAGTTCTCAGTCTTATGAACAGGCCTGACACACCGCATAACACAATCTCGAAATGTCTTGCTCAGTTCTTAAAGTGTGCGGATCCCGTGGCTCAAAACCGTGTCCTTTCAGCTTCATTGGTCCGGGCATTTCAGGGGAGAAACTGTTTACAGCCGCCAATGACAAAAATAAACGCAAGTACCATATTTTAACGTCTATTGGTATGACGCGGCTGGGGATCGAACCACCGACCTCCGGACAGACACTCTACCACTATACCACAGAGGCGGTCTAAGACCAGGTGAGGAAAACATATTGTTCCTCTTAAACTGGCGAAACATTCTTTATCCTGTGCGCTATTGTTTCATTTGAAAGACAATCCAGCTATAAAATGTATTTTTGACCTGCAGAATCGATACTGCACACGGTTCAAGGAATACACAATATGGACGCACCATAATGTCATCCGAATGTAGATAAGGCAAACAGAGTCGGAGGGGAAACAAATATATATTTAAGTGTGGCATGCGAATCACGATATGCATGAAAGGTTGATGAAGCTTCGCAAAACTATTCACTCACTCACTCGCATGCACGCAAGCATTCACTCACTTTTGTTTCGTATCATTGACAGAGAACCGACACAACCGATTCTGGGTGTGGATCTAAGGAAGGGAAGTAACTCTTACAACCTTAATTCGTGTGAGCTTCGCACTAAATTCACTCAGTTTTTCCTGTGGGACAGTCACTTTGTTATCTTCATGGTACACAGTTCCCGACGGAAGAATGGATCACATGTAAGATCAAACTGCTTGCATAGAACGTTGGCCAGTTCAACATTTTATTCAGGTCAGCGAATGTTGTTATATAAGAAATAAGAAAACTCAAGAACCTTTCACGGTATTGCGAGCTTGGAATTATATATTGGGATACTATAAAGGTTATCTATAAACTAACTGTCAGAACGTGAAGTAACAGCGACTCTGAATGTGTACTGAAATATTCCGCCTTTAACGGAAATAGGAATTTGATTGGCATCACTAAAAGCCACGGACAAAACCGATCAAAACGCAAACCAAGTGTTTTCTACTGCGTCGAACTCTGCACCATAAAAGGCATTAATGGGAATCTCTAATCAACATGTCAGATTGTTTTTTGCCGGTTGTTGCGCTATTCAATATCAGCCGAAAGACCCAACATATAATAACAGCCAGTTGGGGCTGTGAGTTCTGTTTAACGCCACAATGGTGGCAAAATCTGTAGTCTAGCTTTATCACGACGGCCTGTAGATAATCGAGATAATCCTGTGGTTGACATAATGAGCAACGTCTTACGCTGTCGTTGTACGCTGACACACTGTCGACTAAGTCACCGTGCCTCCTTCCCCAGGCATATGAAGACAAAATCTGACCTGGATCTTCAGGGGTGGAGGCAAGCATGAGTTGCTGAAGACCAAATCTGACCTGGATCTTCAGGGGTGGAGGCAAGCATGAGTTGCTGAAGACCAAATCTGACCTGGATCTTCAGGGGTGGAGGCAAGCATGAGTTGCTGAAGACGAAATCTGACCTGGATCTTCAGGGGTGGAGGCAAGCATGGGTTGCTGAAGACCAAATCTGGGGGCGGTCGGGTAGCCTAGTGGTTAAAGCGTTGGCTCGTCACGCCGAAGACCCGGGTTCAATTCCCGACATGGGTACAATGTGTGAAGCCCATTTCTGGTGTCCCCCGCCGTGATATTGCTGGAATATTGCTAAAAGCGGCGTAAAATCAAACTCACTCACACTCACCAAATCTGACCTGGATCTTAACGGGTGAAGGCAAACATGGGTTGTTGAAGACCAAATCTGACCTGGATCTTCACGGGTGGAGGCAAGAATGGGTTGCTGAAGACCAAATGTTACCCGGATGTTCACGGGAAGCCGTCCTAAGAAACTACAGTCGTCACTGTCAGGCTTTGTATGCATGAAGTGTGATGTGGATGATGTGTGTTCTGAATACGATGTAGTCTATAGGTCCGAAGATGGTAAGTAGGTTAACTGGTTCTCCGCGTGTGAAGACAAGCAGATATGCTGACTGATTTATGAGTTGAACACAGTATAGAGCACGCAGACATTGTTTAAGAACCAGGTGCGCCAGCATGATCTTGTACAGAATACCGCCTTGCTGAAATACACAAACTGATGTGATAATGCAATTAGAAGTGACTTCAACCTACATCTATGACTCGAAGAAAGCTGTACAACCAAGATAATCCGCTCGTGTTCTTTGACACAAAAATTCAGTTGTGAGAAACGTCGAACCCCGCTCTAGTATATTCTGAATTCAATGTAAATTATCGGCATTTATTTTCACATGTACTCCAACTTTTAGTTTATTTTCACTCCTTCCATCAATTCCTTGCAGTCTGTATCTCATCCATGTTAGGGGCCTGTATAGTTTACTGCGCGTTCGGCATGCGAATGAAATGCCACATGACGTTCCTTCTCACTGTTACGATCTGTAACCTCAATATGAGAGTGAGGTGTATTTGTTTGGATGACACTGTTTAAAGGTTAAATAAACTACATCTTGGAGTCATAGCCTATAGACCCCGAGGCTGTTTTGTTTATATCTTATTTTATTGTCTTGCGAATATATGAAGGATTAGATCACAATCCAACATATGATCATGTAATGACATACCAACTTGTAAACTGTGGATGTTGTAACGATATTGGTGGCTGGATCAGCCGTGCGTGTAGAACTGATTGCAGATGGATGTCGGCCTGTGTAGTGTCTATGGAGGGTCGGTTGATATCAGTCATGAGAGAAGCAAAATTGTCATTATTTAAGTTTGTGTGTTTATTGTTTAACGGCCCACTCACCAATATTCCAGCAATATCACGACGGGGAATGAGTCTGCCTTGTATTGGGCGAATGGTCCACCCACTTGGCTACCGGGGCGCCAACTGAGGAAAACAGGGGTTCATATATCAAATGTTAATACAATCTCCATTTTGCTTATAAATAAATATACTTGTGATTTCCATGATGAAAACACCTTTTCCTCAAGGACGAATGGTACATGCATTTAACATTCTTGGTAGATAAAAGAAGTTTAAATTCTCAGAGACAGACTATTATTACATATATATGGTTACATTTACATCAGACCGCCTCCATGGTCTAGTGGTAGAGCGTTTACCGGAGGTATCTATACCAAAAGACGTCAAGAGATGGCACTTGTTGTTGCCCTGCCTGGCGCTTGACATTAAGGGGCTAAAACATGGAATGGTCGGCTAGGAGTCAGTATACTGTGTCTGAGTGGGATTCAGCTTGGCTAGTACTATAAAATCGGCATTAGTCCGGACTAGTACTAGCAGCCAAACACATATATGATATAAGATATACAAGATATATAATATAACAACGCCATGTAGATGCGCTTGCGAAACA